AGGGCCCAATGTTGACTAACTCCTTATATTCTAATAATAGTTACAATTATCACAAAAACTTTCCTCCTTTGACTCAAGTTACAGCTAAAAAATAGAAACATGGCTTTTTTCTATAATAAACCTATTTGATTAGCCTTGTACGCAGCAGATGTATCACATTTCACTAACTTATTCCCATGCCTTGTGCCGACATCAATAATCTACATTCATTACGTTCATGGATACTCTTTACGAACGTGAACGAAGCGTAAAGTAAGTTATTTTAATGTTCATTATATCATTAGAGTTTATATGTTTTCAGTAATGGTCACTTGTGCTGGAAAACTTCCAAAAATACGGAAACAATAGCAAACCCAAAGAAAATAGCAGAGTTTAAGTGTAATTGCAAATTCCTATGGCTTAAAGAAGTTCATGGTCTTAGCGCGCTTATGATGGTAAGGGCTTTTTACATAGATTTTATCAAGCATCGTCGAGTGAAAGTCTTAAAAACCACCAAGCACCATCAATTTAGTCCTCCTCTCGCTTCCAAACGGTTCTGTGGTTTAGTGTGATCAGCATATGTTGTGTAGTATCAGGAATTTTCATGAATTTAGTGTTGAAAGAATTTAAACAAAACGAGTTCAGTACGAGGATAAAGATCTATCCGGTATGCTTTATGTTTAATATCAAATTTAACACGATTCAGAGCTAACTGTGCAAGTTCTAGGCGAAACAGCTAAAATTTCCAACTCTAGTTTTTTGTCCCAAATACGGTGATGCTCTTCATTTGGAACCACTGCTTCAAGGTAAGCTAGATTTACCAAGAAATGCTACCCTGCTTAGTGTTCAAATAGTTAGGGCCAGTAGAATTCGCTTACGGTGATGAAAGGAAGGGAAGAATAATAAACATGTTAGAGAATAAGCAATAAGATTCAAGGTGTTCCAAGGGTAAAGTTTTAGAAACAGTTCCACATTTATGGTGGCAGGGTAAAAAGCCCTTCGATCAATCAACCACTGATTCGTGCAGAACAGTAAATACAGCGGACTTATATCATAAAATGCATATAATTCTTTCCGAAAAACTAAGTAAATCTTTCGTTCAATCAATATATATTTCACTTATTTAAGGTGAGTTGTATGATTGGTTCATTTCTTCAAATTGTAGTAAATACGGGAGAAATCTCATCCTTCCCTCCTTCCCATTCCTGTTTCAATCTCCATTCCTCTCCTCCATTCAGCCTTTCTTGCGCTCCAGTTTTCTGATAAATATTTCAATAATTCCCTTCAAACTTTACTGCTTGACAAACGTTTCTTTATATCTCAAATCTTCTTCTGGGTTCTAGCTCAAACCACCTACCTCTCTTTTCTCCTCTCTCTTCCCCTCCCCATCTTTGTTAATCTCTGGTATTCAGAAATAGTGATGATACAAAGTGATTATCAAAACGAGATCTCTAATCTGGGCATGTTCTCGTCAAAAATTATCATAAAAGATTTAGATATGCGATTGAGATTAGGATTTGTGGACGAAGAGGTTGGTTACGATGTTCTTCGCTATTTGATTGCAGGAAGTGGATTGGATAAGGTTAAATTGGGCAATTGGAATGCAGCGTATATGTGAGTCTTCTCTAGAGATAGCGCTCAAAAGATTCGTCTTCAATTCATATTTTAAGACTTGAGCTGAATAGTCTTTACAAAAATTGGCGTGGTAATCGAACACAGGACCAAATGTTCGATTTTGTTTTCAACGAAAATGGTTACACTTGCGCTGAGGTTTGATTAACTACACATCCAAGCTTTATATCAAGATTTTCATCCTCCTCATGCCAAATGAGGATTTACCTTTCAGATGTTTCAAGAGTGCTATGCTGGTTCATTGGAGCTAGATTGTTGTAAAGTATTTGAGCCAACGTTTGTGATGATGAGAGGAAGGTGTGTTTGTGCCGATATCACTTTGCGGGATTGTCAATGATAACACACAGTTACATACCCAACTATCAAAAATCTACGACTGATAGTTAACGGCTGTAGAATTCTGTGGTCCTTCCTTGAATTTCGCGGAAATTATTACTTAAAATGAAGATCTTGTAAAAAGTAGTTGGAAAATACTCTAAAAATATGTGATATAAGCGTGATGTGATGCAAGCGTTATTTGTAATGGGGATTTCAATAAAACCCTAATATCCAAAAGGCCAGAGTGCATAGGCCAAAAATCGACTCCAGTTTCTGATCGGTTTCATTCCTAAAGGCAGTACACTAACTACCGATATGGGTGAAATCAATTTAAAGGTCGATAAATCGATAAAAGCGTCAAATACTTTGTATAATGCATACTTGTAATCATCACTTTACTTAGTCTTTACAGTATTTCTTAGCTCCATTGGCTGTAAAATTTAGAAAAATCATCAAATTGATGAAATCAATAGTCACAAATAAATGGTTAATAAAAAATATCTAGTGGGGATAGATATCAGTAAGAAGTATGATAAGATTATCTAATGAAACCAAATATTCTCATTTTGGGTGTTTTCGACTTATCGACACCTACCATCAGACGGACGTTGATGAAACAGCCAAACTTTCTCTTTACTTCAATAAAGTTCAAGGAACACTTCTTGGAAACAACACAAGAGTAATCCGTATTATCGTTTTCAACACTTCCCTTTTAT